GGGCCGGGTGGCGGCGCCCTGCCAAGCCCCGGAAGAACGTGGGCCCGGACAGCTCTCTGCCCAGCGGAGGCTCACATTACAGGGCACGCTGGTCGCCACTGGCCTCTGTGAGCCGCCGCCCACACCTACAGGCCGAGCGCTCCGAAGGCGCCCTGTGCCTTTAAATCCGGGGCGCGCCGGCAAGTCCCGCCCCGGAGGGAGCGCGGGGCCAGCGAGGGGGCGTGGCTGCCCCATCATTGGCTGAGCCGCTAGTATTTTGGCACTCGTGCGCGAGAGTCTAGCGCTCTGATTGGACCTAGGGCCTGCTTGTCTGCTTGCCCCTCGGGGGTCAGCGGCCACCCCCGGTGCCTCCGCGTTCGGTCCCGGGTCCTCCACGTTCCGTTCCCAGGCGGGTCCGGGCTCCAGTTCCCGGAGGAGCCGCTGCGTCCTCCGGTCGGTTCGCTGACGCCGCCACGCAGGTACGGCCGGGGCGCGGCGAGGCGGTGCCTGGGGTCACCGAGCTCCGGGTGTGGCGCACGTCCCGGACGCAGATCGGAGGCGTGGCCCGCGGTCCCCGCCGGGGACGGAGACGAGGGCTTGGGGCCCTGGGACTGTAGATCGAATCCCACCCTGCCCCTTCCGTCCCGGGCACCTCCCGTGGTTCCCCAGGGCCTCCGTGTGCTCCCCTGTGAATGGGCTGCCACCCGCCCACCTCGGGGCCTCTACTGGCCCTCGCAGCCCTGGCCCGGGGCAGGCGGCATCCCAGGGCCCAGCTGCGGCACAGTCGGGTTATTTTTAATCACCCCCGCCCATCCCCCCTTGTACGAATTGGAAGGCTGGTCATGGTTGGGTCCAGCACCACCAGCCAGAGGCTGCTGACACCCAGTTTAGACAGGTGAGGGTTATTTAAAGCGCTTTATTGTTTAAAAGTGGATTCCTGGTCCCACTGGGGGCAGTTGGCAGTGTCACCCTGGTGTCACCAGTGCAGAAGCTGAGACTGTTCCAGGGGTCACGGAGAGTCACCTGGGCTGGCCATGACCTCCCAGACCCTGGATCACCTCTTACTTTTATTCTGGGGCCAAGGGCAGGTGTCCCAGGCCGAGTCACACAGAGCTTCAGGCTGCAGCTACTCTAGGCCTCTCCTCCCCTGGCACCCACCACCCCACAGGGCTGGCAGAAGTCCTTGCCTCAGCAGACTGTGTCCTCCTGGCCTCTGTGCAGGCCTTCCCAGTGCGGGAGCCGCTGCCCCAAGCTTGCCCTCGCTCGCAGCCCCTTCAGCCGTCTCCGGTGGAACCTGGGACAGGCCCCATGCCTCCACTTCCTGAGGGCCCAGCCCCACAAGCCACTTTCTGCAGGACTGTCACTTCCTGGCCTTCCCCACTGCACCTGCCACCTCGCAGACGAGCACCAGGCTGGAGCACCAGGCCCTCGTCTCGCCTTCTCTGTCACTTGGCCTCCAGGCATGTGGGGACAACATTGCTATCCCGTCCCCAGCACTGTCCACACCCGGTGATCACGGCCCGAGCAACCTTTGTGCGGAGATACTGGGCCGCCTCTGTTTGGGATCTTCATCTTTTTATTTTTTTAAATTTTTGCCACAGGGCATGTACCTTCAGAGAGGAACAGAGAGGGGGACAGTGAGAAAGCATCCCCCATGGGGGATGGCCCGGCCACAATCCCTTCTCCATCTCTCTCTTTTCTCATCTCTTCGGGATTTTGAGCATGCAGGTACACACACCCCACGTGTTTCTCAAGCCACCAGATCAGGGACTTGAACCATGCATGCATTCAGTCATGTGGGATCCAGGGTCACCTTGCCCTAGAGATGAAGGCCCTGACTTGCTTACAGCCAGCGATAGGCGGCTCCTGGCCTCCCCGGCAGCCTGCTCTGCCTGCCCTCTGACTAGGTGGCTCTCTGGGGGCTGCCCTGGCGAAGTTTGGGGGATAGTTGGTCCCTGAACCTCTCTGAGGTCACTCCCAAAGGTCTGAGGACCCCACCCCAGGACTGGGACCCCACGTTGCTGGTCCCTGGACTTTGGGTGCCTCCTGAGGTTATCAGAAGGGCTGCGGTGCCCAGCTCTGGTCAGGAACTGAGAGAGGCAGCCCTTGTGGGCCTGGCTGTGCAGCTCAGGAGCATCAAGTGGACTTGGGTGGACAGAGGCTTTGCTGTCACAGGTTCAAGACGTCACCACTTACCATATGATCGGTGGCTTGTATCTCTGTAAAAAGGGGTGGTGATGGTAAGGCCCTCTCACAGGCCTTTGGTGATGTCAGGGGCCTGGAGGGTGGGCTTGGAGGAGGTGGGCCCCTTCCTGACCTGCCACAGGCCTCACTTTGCAGCACGTCACCACGACCGCAGAGCCTCCCCATTCTTGTCTGGCTGATCCTCCCCAAGCCATGTGGCCAGGCCCACAGGGGCTGCCTCATCCCAGCGTTCCCACCCTAGGCCAGGCACAGCCGTGCTTTCTGAGAAACTCAGGAAGAACCCAAAGCTCGAGATCAGCAACTGTTTTGTGGGAACTCCCCTTTCGGAGGGGCTGGCTGTTTGCAGTGTTATAGAGATGGCTTAGCAGTTCCCTGTCTCCTTTAATTTTATTTTATTTTAAGAATTCTTTTATTTATTTATTTTAATTTGACCAAAGAGGGACGGAAAGAGAGAGGGAAAGTGAGAAAGCAAGCTGCCAGGTCTAAGACTCGAACTGTGGTCTGCCATGTGGGAGTCCAGCACCCTTAATCACCATGCCACCTTCTGGCCCCTCCTTTTTTTAAGATTTTTTTCTTGCCATAGGGCGCATGAGTCCTCTGAAGACAAAGATGGAGAGAAAGCAAGTGAGGAATCACCCTGGGGGGTGTGGTCATGCTGCCATCCCCTCTTCTCCATTCTACTCTCAGGATTTGGGGCACACATGTGCACGTGCCTGGTGTGATTTTCAAGCCACTGGGTCGCGGACTCAAACTGCAGTTGGCCATGTGAGAGTCCAGTGCCTTAACCACTGTGTCCCTGTTCCCATCCCCTATCTCCTTGGGGTTTTTTTGAGAGGTTTTTGCTATAGGGCACGTGTGCTCACCAGAAAGAGAGAGACAGACAGAAAGTGAGAAATCACCCCCTGGGGGGATGGCCATGCTGCAGTCTCTTCTCTATTCTCCTCTCGGGATTTTGGGCATGCACGCACACGTGCCTGGTGAGTTTAAGCCACTGGGTCCAGGACTTAAACCGCGATCGACTACATGGGAGCCCAGTGACATAGCCATCACACCAGCTGCTGTTTCCATCCTTGTAAGAAACCCTGCAAGTGGCTCGTCTCCTGAGAAGGTCCTGGCCAGGCCAGCTCCTAGGCTTGGCTGTTACCTAGCGCCATGGCCACCCGGCTGCATTGCCCTGACTGCCCACACCCGCTCTCTTACAGGCTAACATGGCAGAGTTCTCCCAGCACCGGGGGAAGCGGCGCAGCGGCGAAGGACTGGGTGGTGCGGTGGACTTCTTGCTGGCCAATGCCCGCCTAGTGCTGGGCGTGGGCGGGGCTGCTGTGCTGGGCATTGCCACCCTGGCCGTGAAGCGGGTAAGGCTGCTGGTCGGGCCATCTCCCAGACCTGCAGAGGGGCCCTGGGAGGGGCAGTGGGGTCCCCAGGCTGGCACTGGGGCCTAGGGCGCCTGTTCTTCCACCAAAGCAAGCTGGTTTGGTTTGCCCCTGGGCTCTGCTGTGACCACCTGGGATTCGGATGCTCTGATTGTCACTCTGCTGGCAGCTCATTGACAGGGCCACCAGCCCAAGGGACGAGGATGATGCCAAGGAGGACGGCTGGAAGGAGCTGAGCCTACTCAAGGCCACACCACAGCTGCTGCGGCCCCCACCTGCTGCCCTCAGCCAGCACGCGTCGCCCCTGGTCCCCGTGCCCTCTGCCCCAGGTGAGTGGCACCGACTTCCTGACATGGGTGGGTCCTCCTTTGGTGTTCACTTAGGGAGATGCCACTTAGGCTCTGCCACTGACCCCCGCTGAGACATGTAACAGGGACCTCCACCTCCACCAGAGCAAGGTGGCAGTGTTACCCTGGAGGGGAGCCTCAGGTGGGAGACGAGGCCGAGAGGGCAGCTGCGGTCTGCTACTCTGCACAAAGCTGTGTTAGCCCCAGGAAGAGCG